TACATTGTTGGTTACTTCATACGAGAGATTTCTGTATTTCGGTTTTTGTTTGGGTTTTCCTCATTGGTTTGAATGGTTGGTTGCTAGAAAATGACGTGGATGTCATAGTTTTTGAGCATTAACCTTGTAAAATGTGTTTCTCAATTATCCTTCAGCTGATTTTTTTACATGCTTGGCCCTTCCATCCATTCCTTCTTCTATTTACCTTTGACAGAATAGCCAGGATGTTTTCCAGTTGCTGAGGGTACTGTGTCCTGCGCAGAGGGTTGAACTCTGACCCCATGCCCACCAGATAGTGGGGCAGGATGGTTTGGAAGAAGCCTGAATCTTTTATGATGCCAGCCAGGTGCTGCAGAGAGCCTCTGTCTGTCCGTGATTTGAAGGCTTTACTCAGCACCAGGCAGAGGAGTTCGATAAGGTCCTTCCTCATTGTTTTGTCACGCAGGACTTCAATTAGGGCGGGGTTAGATGAGAGGCTGATGGCCACCACAGACGGGTCTTTTCCAGAGAGATCCTCCAGTGTTTTATAGCCCAGGCGACGGCCCTGTGGTGCCCCTACTCTGCCTGTAGAATTTGACCTCCCCCCATTCCCCTCTCGTCTGTCTCTCGAACCATCCCTTCTCTCGCCCCCTCTACCTCCTCTTCTATCCACACTATATACTCCTCTCCTTACAGCCATTTCTGCCAACCCTCTTCTCGCTCCTTCTCTTGCATCTGCACCTGGTTCACCATTTCTTCCTACTCCACCTCTCTGTCTGTCTGCACCTTGCCCTCCATTTCCGCCTCTCCCTCTCCCCCCTCCTCCTCTCTGTCTGCCACCTCTTCCTGCATCTCTTTCATCCCCTCTTTCCGCTGCTGCTGCTGCTCCTCCTCCTCCTCCTCTTCCTCCCCTTCCTCTCCCTTGCACCCCCCCACCTCTTCCTCCATCTGTCCCCTCCCCGCCGCCTCTTCCTGCTCCTCTTCCTCCGCCTCTCCCTAACTCTGCTCTTCCTCCATCTCTCCCACGCATCCCTTCTCCTCTGTCTATCTCTTGTTCTCGCGGCCTGTCTCCCCGTGCACGTCCTCGTCTTCTCCATCTGCCTCCACCGGCATTCTCATTTTGGCCAGTATCATTAGCTTGGGGGAAAAAAACAACATTCATTCAGTGAGACCTTGAAAATTAACACCTTAGTTTCTTGACCTTTGCTCAGTGTTTTTAACTTGATTGCGTCTCATACTGTGTAATTACCATTATTAGCTTCTCTTCTCCCATTTGGTAACGTCACTCTTTCCATTGTCTTGCATTTGGCAGTTGTTGAAATTTAGGCTGGTTGTTTGGTTTCTGAGTGGCGAGAGATTACAAAAGTGCAACAATTTTTAAAACAATAAATAAACAAACATCTAAATAATGTGTCATTTGTGTACAAGATGATAAAAAAAAAACAGCCTGTATAAGACGGCAGTGAGTTGTAATGGCTGAACATAGAGACAGGACCCAAATGTAAGAATCGAGACACTCAGTGGGTTTAAATAACAGTCTTTAATTAGTAAACAGGTTCGGTACAGAGGAAGGCAGCCCAATAAGGTAATCGATCGAAGACTAAAGGCAAGGCCAAGAAACAGAAACAGGTAGTAAGCTGGCTGACTCGGAAAAACTGTAGGGAAAATTACTGGACTGCTGACACAAAGTGAACAAGACAAACTGGCACAGTGGGAAGGGAACACCAAGACTAAATACTCCGGGGCAAGGGAGACAATGAGACACAGGTGCAACACATTAGGGCGGGGTCAGGTAATCACACAGGAGTGAAGCACAGGTGAGGTGAGTATCAATATAAAACGGGAAACCCGATACTACAAGCGTGAGGGAAGAAGATGAAAGGGTTTTAACTGACAAGACATGACATGAACAGCATCTCATTCCTGAGAAGTGTTTATATTTTTAACTATTTATTACTATTATGCACTGTGCCCCATTATCAGTAAGATTTGCAAGGCCATGGGATTGTTGGAGTCAGATAAGAAGGGCTGATCTCACTCTTTATTGCTTCTGAGGAAATCAAAGCAATCCTTGTCTCTGGGCCTGTCTCTTCAATCTTAACTGTTATTTTGTGCGATATGTACTTGAATACCCATAGTAGTAAATGCACTTAACATTTCAACTATTCTGACACTTTAACCTCTTGAAGCCAATGGGAGTATATATGCACCCAAATACCAATGTGATAGTGCGTCATAACTCCGCGATCGATTCAGCTGGAGACGTGCAGTTTTTTTCACGTAAAACTAGAGACTGTCCGTCGCTAAGCACTTAGTTCGGTCGATAAACTAATATCAAAAATTAGAAAGAATTTTGACAGTCTTACCGTTTGCTGGCGCATTGCTGCTTTCTATCTGTGTTGTTAATTGATAGATTTTTTGGCGCCATCTTTGCTAGTGACGGCTGACGACTGAATTGGACATTTCTATTGGCTCCAGTGGACGCTATCACAGCCAATCAGAGTGACTGATTCAGGGGCTTGGCTTGGCCTGGCTTAGTCTGTTAATTGCTTGTATACCCAAACTATATGAGCTCAAAATAATATAGTCATAAACTTTATATAAAATGTCAGGGATCTCCAACCTTTTTTCTTCTGAGAGCTACTTTGACCAAATAAAAGGGGCTGAGAGCTCTTCATGTCATATATTACTGGGTACAGTAATATTTTTTTATTCACATATTGTATAAAACACTCAAACCGATGACCAAAACAAATTAGATAAATATGATAATTTAACAAGTCATCAAATATCAATATCCAAAATTCCCATTTTATACCAAAGACCTCTGAAACTGACAAAGATCTGAGTCAAGATTCAGTCAAACCTGAACACAAACATGATGACACCACTGCAAATAAACATCCATAAATCTGCTTAGAAATCTGAGACAAAAGAAGCTCCTCACTCAGTAATCCAGTGATAGTTGTCAGTACATCAATGGTACATAACAAACTGGAACTTGAAATAGCTAAGCGCAGCATAGTTCTCTGTGTTTGATTTAGTTGCATTTGGAGTAGATTTACTGAGTGAAGTTGTGTTGCTTAAAGTTTGAACTATGCATCCATGATCTGCACGGACTATATTCTCAGAACCTTTGGGTGAGCTACTCTAAAATGGGGTGAGCTACTGAGCTTATTGAAGTGGCAGAAAAAAGACAGAAGGATGTGACCAGTGAGATATTTGCAGGAGTGGGTTTGGAGATAATTTTTCAAGGAGCAGAAGAAATACACCCATGAATACTGCTCAAAAGAATGAGCATAACTCATGAACAGATACTTAAAATCACCTCTAGCACAATTTCAAACAAATGTGTGTAACTTGAAGTTTTCTTTCGTTGTCATGGTTTTCAGTGTTTTTATCTCTAAAATAAGGAAAAACTCAAGGTTTTTTGTTTTATGGGCTGCTACACCCTTTTATAGTGAGTCTTTATTGAGTGACATACTGTTTATAATTAAACGAGGTTGTGTATTACTTGGTGAAATTACAACTTTATAAGGCAAAACACAAAGGTATGACAAAATGGAAAAGTCTTAATGTGGGCCTCCAAAGGTTAATATATGTGACATTTCCAGTGTATCTACTATCCATGTGTTTTTTGAGTGTACTTGGCTTGCAATGGCAATGACCCAAATAAAGAGCAGGCCCTCTACTGGTAACACAAAGGACTTGCATGGGGTTGGACTTCTTATGGGTAAGTTTCCTTTCACTAGAATTCGGATGAAAGGTCTATTTTGACCACAAAATGTCTTTTGTCATGAAACTGATTAAATACCGTCAGGCTGAGCAGGTACTAAACCAGCACATTAGTAAATGTGTAATGTCTTTTATTTTTCGAAAATTTTCTCATAATCTATACTCCACAATCATTCTACAAATTTCTTACTGTATCCGGACTATTGATATCAGTCCGATCTTTATTTGCTTTATTCTCGCTCCTATTTTCATTCATATTGACGTATAATTTAGCCAAGTGCCCCTGCCTCCGACATATCCGTCAAAAGCAACATACAGAAATAACTTACCTACAATGAAATCCACTTGATACGAATATTTCCAGGACCATTAAGGACAGGAAACAGGCCTGTTTGCTATTATTGCAGCATCTATTGCTGAGCCGGTAGTCTGTCTGAGCTCCCCAGCTGCTCAGACGCTCTGACTGCTCGGTTCAGGAAGCTGCTATTTAAATGCTCTGTCATTTTCGTTTTCGTTTCATCCGAAGAGACACACCACACCTAGATGAAGTCAGTGTGGAGCACGAATGACTAAGGCGCACATGATTCATATCCGTGCATAGAGGATTATTTACAGTTTCATCAATTCAGTATTTATATTTGCAAATATGTGGCGGGATGCTGGGTGTCTGACAACCTGCCTGATTTTAATCATGGTGTAGCTAATGGTCGAAGACGTATTCAGATGTTTTACTTAATACCACATTGAGATAAAACTCAGTTATAAGTAAAAATTTCCGCATTCAAATTATTTTATATAGCCTAGAAGTAAAGGTGGGCAAGACGTTTGTAATAGGCAACTTAGGTATATCTCTGTACTACAGTTTGGAAACATTTTGGAAAAAATAAATATATTCTGTTTCACCATTGCACTGGTGTTAACTGTGTAGACTACATTTCAACCCCCCTAGAAGATTACCGTACTGCATTTTAAGAGCACTGCATGAAAATGTACATACAAGCCTATGGAAAACGATCTTTAAATTTAGACCATGGTATATGGAAAGAAGTGTTTGGCTTTTGAAGCACAAATAATTGATCGGAAAATAGACAAAGACAATATGCGATCAAACTTAGCACAGTAAATTCATAAATTCACACTGTTTATATATATATATATTATATTATGTAATAATAATAATTTTTAGTAATATTAGTTTTAGTAGTATTTTTATTATAGTATTAACACTCAAAGGTAGACGCCTCCTCCTCTTCACCTCCCATCATCCTGACCCTACGTGATGATGAGTCAGTCTGGGCAGGGAGGATCTCTAATGCTAATGTATCCTATTGGTCGCCTCAACCAATGTAAACATGTAGCCGTTTCATCTCTCTAAACTTATTGCTGTTAAGCACTTCTTTCTTATCGGTAACGAGTTCGTCAGTAGTCTGCATAATGATGGCTGTGTTGCTGGAAATATTGGTTTCAGAACCAGGGCAGTGCAGCGTTAGCTTGGCGACTAGCTAACGCTGAATAGCTAACTGTCGTGGTCGTGTTTGTATGAGGCTGGCCTTGCTAATTAGACGGCTAGCTTCCAGTTGGCAAGTAAGAAGGGATAAATCGAGTTTAGCCAGACAAAGGATGGCAAGTAATGTTATCTAACAAGGACACATCAAGAAGTGGAGAAAGAAAATGAAGAAATCTAGAAGTGCTGGTGCCTCGTCACCAGTGAATGGAAAACAAGGTAACGGTAAGTGTCATGTCGCTAAGTTGACAGTCTCCAGTTTAGCCTATCATACTGTGTATTCCGGGTAATTTCGGGGTTAAAAAAACACATGACTGCTTGCGTCTGTTGGAGTTAGCTAAGCTAATCACATCCCCTGAAACGACCGTAAATGTATTCGTTACAGTTGCAAGCTGTAGCAAGTCAACACATGCTAGCTAGTTAAACACGGTGTTTTGTGTGTCTCAGACTGGGACACCAGGCGGAAGAGGAAAATTGCGGACATCACGCAGGCCCTGAGCGTGAGCCCAGTGGATGTAGCAGCTCTGAGGAGGATGGCTATCAGTGAAGGAGGACTGCTGACTGATGAGATACGCTGTCAAGTGTGGCCTCGGCTTCTCAATGTGCCCCTTGAAGTCCTGGATCAGGAGCCAGGTGTCATGTTAGCTATACATGCATGGACAGAGTAATATAGGCTACACATCTATATGCTATTGCACATGCCTTTCCTTTCCTTGATAGTTATTAAAACACACAGGTGCACGCTCTCCCACATATTTGACTCACACAGCATTGCTAACTGTGACATGTCTTGTCCAGAGACTGTGGAGCGAGAGAATAACAAGGACTACAACCAGGTCCTGCTGGATGTCCAACGCTCACTGAGGAGGTTCCCACCTGGTAAATAATGACAAACAACTCAGTTTGACTCATATATGCTATTGCCAGCTGCATTGTTTCAGATGAACACACACAATCAAGCTGTGGTGTCCTGACCACCAAATCTAGAGAATCTGACTCTCAAATTAATGATTTGAATATACTTTAAGCCAGTCATTTCAGCTCCTCTTGGAAGCCACCCATTCACCTCTGCAAATAATTAAATGGAATTTGCTTAGGAAAATCTACATTTGCTATCCTCCATGCCAATGTAATATGCAAACTGCTTTGCTATTACTTGCTGTTTGTGTTGCCTTTGGTAGTAGTCAACCTGGCATACAAAGTTACAGGAGTACAGCCATGTTGCCTACTCTGTTGTTACTGAATCTCTGCCAGTCCATCTCAACAGTATTGTCAAACCAAGATCTATCAATTTAACATTGAGCTGCACCCAGAATGTGTGACTGGTGGTGGGAAAAAATGTCAAAACTGTGGAGACTTCAGCCTCTGCAAGCTCTGATCTCAGTGAGCGTTGATCTGTGCCAAACTGCGGCGTCCGTCATCATCATGTGGAACAGTTTTTCCTTTAAAAAAATATTTTTTTTATCTTCTGGAGGAAAAAAACTCAACAATGATATACAGTACTGTATTTTTGATTAGAATCCTTTAAATAAATTAATGTTGGTATTTGGTATTACTCAAAACACAACAGCATTTGTACTTATTTAGCTTTTATCCTGAAATTATGGAATTGCATTATTTATTTACTAGTTTTTCATTCATTTATACTGGCAGGCTTGATTGGTAGGGGATCCAGTAATAAATGTTACAATTCATGCTCCATAATTACTCTGATTATCCTCTATTTGGCTGAGGAGTATAGCACAACAAGCACTATTTCTAAATTGTGAAATCATAAGCCCGAAGGAATTACAATGGAATTGGTAATGAAAAATTGTATCAATACATAAACTAACAAGTTTTTATTTTGTTTTGGGTGGACTTGTACAGGTATGCCAGACGAGCAGAGGGAGGGTCTCCAGGAAGAGCTAATTGACATCATCCTCAGAGTTCTGAAACGTAATCCCCAGCTGCACTACTACCAGGGATACCATGATATTGTTGTCACCTTCTTATTGGTCCTGGGGGAGCGCCTTGCAACTGCTCTTGTGGAAAAGCTCTCCACACATCATCTCAGGTACTTAACATATACATATATACATATAAAAATATATGCATATATACAAATCCATTTAAATGAGAAAGTGGGCTGAGATTTTTCCATTTCAAAAAGAATATCCTTTCCCTCCCCTCCTCCCTCCCTTCTCCCTGGTTTAACAATAGGCTCTATTGTGCAGTCTAAAAATGCTCTTTGTTTTATCCTCCTTCTCAGGGACTTCATGGATCCCACCATGGACAACACAAAACATATTCTTAACTATTTGATGCCCATCATTGAGAGGGTCAACCCAGAGGTGCACGACTTCATGGAACAGTAAGGCTCTCTGATATTGTAGTGACAAAAGGCCAAATCAAATAATAGATAAAAGATATGAAGCTTTGCAAAATGAAAAATCCACCAGAACTTTATTGAACATACAGCAATTTTGCCAGGTAAAGCAGCTATAACTGAAGCTCAGTGTTGAGAGTATTAAAGGCCTTCATACCCAACAGAGCTTACCCTTTGGTTATGAAACTTAATACCATTTGTATCTGCTCGATAAATTGTTTCCACCAGTGTCTGTTGTCCTGAACTTGGATATTTCATTTTCATCATTTAATTATTTTCACATGCTAAATGAAAATAACTTTATAACAATTATGCAATTTTGAGAACTCATCCCTCACTTGATAATCAGCTTGATCACTTTACAAAAGATAATGGACGCATGTACCAGTAGGTTTTACTCGAAGAGAGACACAACAGTGTGTTTCCAGTAAAGAAATCCTCAGTATTTATTGTAATATTATGGGTATTTATCAAAGGAAATTTAAATGGATGATATATTCATTTGAATTCGTTTTTTAGCCACTAGGTTTGGCTGTTTCCTGTGAAGGATGACAGCTTTGACAGCTTACTGATCCTATTATGACAGCTCAAGTTACTTGTGTAAAGACTTAAGATCACAGGCCATTAAGTCCTCCCACTAGGAGGGCTAACATGTCACTTACCACCTATATCTGACTTTCAGTTCCAGATCCCATAACAGAACTGTAATTTCCAGTCATTTTTGGTCTTGAGTGCTATATTGTACCTGGTGCATCAGAAAACTTCGGTTTTGTGTCCTGATATAAGAGGATCTCTGCCATGTTTTGATTCTTAGGGCTGAGGTGGGTACAGTCTTCGCTCTTAGTTGGCTGATCACCTGGTTTGGCCACGTCCTTTCAGACTTCCGTCATGTTGTCCGGTTGTATGACTTCTTCTTGGCCTGCCATCCACTAATGCCCATCTACTTTGCTGCTGTGGTGAGTTCCCTATAATCAGCACTTAATGTACAGTACATGAATTAAGTCAATCGATAAAACATTTCCAAAGGAAGGGACATTTAGATGAGCTTCATTTTTTTCATATGTGAGCCTGAGGCAAACAGTTATCCTTTGATGGTGCATCCATTTACTTAACTCGGACAGTGTTGTCACTGTACAGAGGCCTGTGTGACAGTGCGATGATATACTGTATGATGTTATGCCCAATGTTAGGGTTGTGTAAAGGCAAAATTGTAGGGTTGCTAGGATGTCACGATTCCATGACCTCTACTGCACTTAAAAAAGGTGATATTGATTGTTAATGAATCTTTAAATATACATTGCTGATCAATTTTTCCAGCCCTGTTGTGGTGGTCTTTCTCAGAACTCTGCAAACTTCAGGATTTAAAGCTGCAAGTCTTAAAGCCCTGGTTTCAGTAAAAAGAAGACCTTGAAGGTTTACATTTTTAAGTCTATATTTGCACTCCGTCTCCTCCGCTCCCTTCCTGATCCACACTAGGTTTTGATGGCCCAGTCAAGGTTATTGTTATTACAAAACTAGGAGGTTTGGTGATAAGGTATTATGCTTTTCAAAACATCACTCACCCTGGTGTACTTAAGGTGTCTCAGGAGAGCAGCTTACTACATAGCTTAATTTTAACAAATTAAAACAAACTTAAACCAACTTTAGAGAGTGTGAGTGTGGCTGGATTCATATTGTCTGGCAGTGGCTTGCCATGTTCTAGGACAGGTTGGCAAGTAAGTTTTGCCTCAGGCCAATTTCTGTCTAATCCATTAGATGGTGGGTCAGAACATAATGAAAGGCTAATTTGAAGAAAACGATTGATTAAAAATGCAACTGGAATTTTCTTTGTTACTGTTCATGTGTGGCACTGTGGCCGACAGTCATATATTATATGTTTGACTGATTTACCGAACTGGTGTTATTTTTTCATAACACACATTGTATGTCCACAAGAATCCCTTGGAACTTCCTGTCTGAACTTTTCAAAATAAAAGCTTGAAATAACTTGAAAGCATTGCTGCAAAAAAATCAAAATCATGCTTTTATTTTGTTAAAGAGGAACTTATACTTTAGGTAACTGTTGCTGCCATGATGGAGATCTATTTTAGCATCAGGCGCTGTGCACTGACTACAGTGCACCGGCTGCACTGTAGTCTGATGCATGACTGTATGTGTCTGTCATTCACTCTCATCATGGATAAAAGTATAAGAAGTATTCTTCAGGTGGGGGTAGATTCTCTATTTGGACATTATAGCTAAATTTGGGACTGTTGGTCCGATATTGTAAGATTAAAAAACACCAGATATTATTGCTGAAGGGCAGTTTTGCTCCCTCCGGCGTTGTTGGGTTTCTACTTAGAAAACTGTTTAGTGCTTCTCCCAAAGGTTTTCCTGTTTTCACACACTCACACACCCTTTCCTTCCCCTCGAGCAGCCTAGCATCTAAAAATGCACATGAAATGATACATTGAGTATAAGGTTATACGGTTACAATCAATACAGAATACAATGATCATTCTGTATAACATGTATAATTTTTTAACAGAAGCCATTTACATCTACATCAAATGCATTTTTCTCCCACACTGTATAATTAGATCACTGGCACTGTTTAAACCATAACGTTAGGTTAAGTTTAATGTGGCCACTGATTCAGATAAGCTGATCTTCTCAGGCATTGTATTTGTAATTCTTCTATCTCTAATGCAACTATACCATTTTGGCCCTTTGAATGACAGATGCCCTTATATGTGATATTTGTACATGTGTTGCAGATTGTACTGTACAGAGAAGAGGAGGTTTTGGAGTGTGAATGCGACATGGCCATGGTTCATCACCTGCTGTCTCAGATTCCCCAGGACCTGCCGTATGAGACACTCATCAGCCGAGCAGGAGACCTTTTCGTCCAGTTTCCTCCTTCTGAACTGGCTAAAGAGGCAGCCTCACATGACAGGTGCTTATCTCTTTAGGTTCACTACCTTACCTTTTACAGAACACTACTTGCCTCAGTGGCGTGAATATTTAATTCTCTGCTTCTACATTCGCATGCTGACTGTTATTATAAACTGTAATATTTCATATTTCATTTTCTGCTGTTTCTCAATGACTCCAATTACTCACCGTTCTTTTATTAACCCTTTCATTTTCTGTCTCCCTTGGTCTCTCTCTATGCATCTCTCCGTTTTCCTCCTAAGCATGGCAACCTCTACCTTTAAGGACTTTGATCTTGCGTCCACTCAACAGCGACCAGACTCTGTTCTCCGTCGGCGACGCAGGCAAAAACAGGCTGCGCTTGAGAGCTCAGCATCCAGCTCGGTAGTAGCAGTGGCTCAGCCTTCAGCAGCACGGCGGTTTGTGCGACTGGCTGTCATGGGTCTGACGGTGGCTCTAGGAGCAGCAGCTCTCGCTGTGGTCAACACTGCTCTGGAGTGGGCCCCCAAACTGGACCTGTTTCCGTGAACTCTTTTACCCCTACACTCCAACTTATCTGTCCTTGACTGAATCTAGTCGGTGGGTCTGTTTCCAAGAACCCTTAAAGTAATAAACCACAAACCCTACAGTCGATAACACTGTCTGGAGTGTACTCTCTAAACTGAACCAGTTAACGCTCCTCCCTTTTCTTCTAGGATGTTACTAAACATCCTACTCTGTGTGGGGCTTTTAGGACCCCAGCTGAGGGTCCTTTTTATGACTCATGAAGAGCACGCAGCAGTGTAACAGCTACAGCTGCCGGTGTTCTGAAACGAAGAATCCATCCTGTTATAATGAAGAGACTGTATTTCTAAGAACTATTATTGATGGTGTCATTATTAAAGTTTATTTATATTTGGTATTAGGATAATCTGATATTCAGTTATGCTCACAGAGATTTATGCTGAAAGCTTAGTGGACTCACTACACTTGAAACTGCTGCCAATTAATAGAGCTGAAGTGAATGTATGAGAGTGTGAGTGTGCGCATGTGTGTGTGTTTGTGTGTGTGTGTGTGTGTGATCGCAATCCGTTTGTTATCCATTTGATACCTGGACTGAGACCAAATAGAGGATTGGTAGAATCCCCTCTTTGTATTATTTCCTGTTTCTTAATTCACAGGTATGTCAGAAGCTGTATAGCAATATGGTCATTTCACACAGGCACTTTTTAAGGTCAACATTTTATGTTTTTAGGTCCTTTTGTCCCGTTTTAGTTGTTTGAATAAGCCTTTTCAGTCAGGAAAGAAAATGTATCTTCCTTTCTGGGATCAAGTATCTTCAAAACATGTCAACAGTGGCTACACATTTAGTTTGGCATCAATCAAAATCAAAATATTACTGGTGTTATAAAAGTAGATGTTTTGTAGTCTGCTTGACACTTAATTTTGTATTTCAAAAGTTAAATGTGAGGATTAGGTCCCTGATTGGAGTACAACTTCACCAGTCCAGGAGGTAAAAAAAAAAATCCAGTTACATACTCACTTAATTGTTTGGTTGTGCAATCTTAAAATGTGTCTGTGTTTCATGGCCTCAAACGACTAGTGTATTTTGTCTGCTTCACTTTTTCAGGAGTAGATGATTAATTCTCTCCTTGTCGCTCAGCAGCTGACTGACTGACTGACTGATTGACTGACTCACTCACTCACTCAATGCCTGGTAGCAGAAAATGTCAGAGCTGGGAGAAATGGCAAGTAAAATAAAAGTGGTAGTCTTTGGGTTGGCACAATGGGGGACCCAGTTTGCACTGAGAGCATTAGTTATGAAAAATCACTTTAAAGTTAGTTTGGTAGGTGCTTTGCTCTCTCCTATCGGAAAGGTGCTCCTGTCAGAGAAAGCACCTGAGCCTTTAAATGAATACTGTCCAACATTTGTGTTTTAAACATGACTGAACTTGATTTGAACACACCCCTCTTAGTAAATAGAATTGCCCGCAGCATAGAATTTCAGTGGCAGTCCAGCTCATTCCAATGTTCCAGTCATTTTCATTCAGTCACACATTTTAAATAGGGGATTGCATTGCAGTGTCAGTGGTATGGCACTCACCTGAATACCCAAGTCTTAACAGAAAATACTAAGCAAATAGTTTGTCAGAGCACTTCATTTTAAGTTGGTTAATTTGAAATCTTTTCGTCTTTTGCTTAATGGAAATCTTCACCTGCATTGGATGGCACAAAACCCAGTCGACTAAAAACATATCTTGAAAGCAACTCAAATGATGTAATTCAGAAAATTATTTTTTTGCCACTGCGATTAGGAACTTTACACCTTGGCATCCCATTCCTATACTATGACTGATGGATTTATTGCCTTTGTAGTGAACTACTGATTCAGCTGGTAAGACAGACAGACAGACAGACAGATCAAAATGAGGGTGGACTGGAACATTTCCAGGGATGCTCTGAGGTGCCTGAGAGAATAGCTGTTCAGCAGTATTGTAATGCAACATTTATCTGCACTCAGTGGTTTTCATTTATTTTCATTGCACTAAATGATTTATCTGCCTTTTATGTTTATTTTGTTATAATAAAACTGTCATACTAATGTTAAGTTGTACAAGAGAATGCTAATAAACTAGAGTGAAAATGTTCTGTGTGTTTGTTTGGACACAGTTACACATCTCTTCTTTATATCTTTAGATACAAAAAAAATTCTCTGCTTGGAATAATAAGTTGTGCCTGTTGTAGTTTAGTTGTTATTTTAAAAAGCTTAATGGATGTCTCCTTATTCACTGAAAAGTCTCTTCTGTGTTTGTGCAATGGAGATTTGAGGTTTCTACATAAACTAAGTACATAACTCCGAAATTAAGGTGAGCACCGAGGAACTTTCTTCCTTCAGCAGATGAAGGTGAAAACGGTCTTTTAGTGTCAAACACTCAAGTGAAGTAACAAAAAACAAAACACATTTTTGACTAATCTGTATTTATCAGGATTAATTCAACATTCGTGAGCCTTAGCTCTCACTTACATTCAGCTGTGCCTTTGTCAGCATCATCACGACATCATCAGATTCACATACTTTTTTGTCATCTTCAGCTAGACTCCATCAACCTTTGTTATAGTTTGTTAACTTCACTTGTACTTTAAGCTTCGTGCTAACATTTCATCATATTCCAATAATGCTAGAATGCAATGCCTGTATGTGCAGTGCAATAGTAGTAGTTAAAAATGATCACTTTCAAACACATGCATTGTGTCCATAAATAATGAAGGTACACCCATATGAATGTGGTACACATTTTAATATTAAACTCAAAAACTCAAGTTATTTCTTATCAAGCTCTGGCTGAATCTAAAGTGTAGTTCACAAGTTGTACCAGCAAAAACTGACAAAGTACAGCTGTTGCAGATACAGGACAGTTGAGCCTGTTGAATGTTGAGCTAAGCCTGATAAAGTGTAACTACAACTCAGCTGACTTGTTCTAAAATGATCATAGTACAGCACATTGTTCTTCCTCAAGGCTAAAGAGTGAAAATATTTGAATTGTGCTTTCATGTTGTTGCTCAGCCAGCAGAGATGAACGTCTTCTAAAAGGTTCTTCATTTTATCTAATGACATGACTGAAGACAGGTTAACAAAAATTATATGATAGGACATGTTTCAACTAATAGTCAAACCCAACAAACACGTAAACAAAATATATTCAATATATTATAGTACATTGGTTACTGTAAGTCTTGAGGAATTAACATGTAAGAATTACAGATAAAGAACCAAATACCTGACAGAAAAATTCACCATCATTATTTGTCCAGCTTTCTATGTTTTAAACCTGATACTTCACAGACATTAATTGCATTGGAGCAGCTTGTTTTGCTTTATGAACACATTCATTCAATGTAAACACTTAAAACAACATCCTACACTGCAGTCTGATTAGTCGACTGAAAGAAGTTCCATTGCATACAAGTCTCATTTCAAATCAATCATTTTCATCACTTATCAACTGTTACACCGACATTACAACTTGTAAGAATTTCATAAAACCTTCTGGTCACTGTAGTCAGTTTACTCCAGTTATTATAACAGTCATTTTTTTATTTCTTCTGGTGTTTCATAGATTAAATGATGAGTTGCAGGAAAAAAAACAATAAATTATTCATGAATGCTCGTTGTTTTAGTGGTAAGTAATTAGTTGTAGCACACAGGAAAAAAAACAAAGGAAATTCCTTATTTGTTACCCATGGAGCGACATTTTTATAAACTGTATGTGAGTATAAGCTTTTTCTCAGATTCTTGTCTAGAAAGTTTAAAAAATTTAAAACTGGATTTTGGCTTGCTTGCCTGATCAAACTACAAGTTTTGACTCAAAGCCAAACTTGTGTAAAAAACAATATCATGGTCGAATTGTTATGAAAGCAGTAGCCAGAAGTCAAAATGCATATCAAGCATTGATGCATCGCAAAGAGGTATTATCATAGCAGAAGGTCCCAGTAAAGCTTATCTTCTCACACTGACATTTAATATCCTAAACTGCAGAGATGTAGAATATAGCTGGTAGTCTGCATAGCTTGTGTATAGTATATTTCTCTATAGTAACCAAATCATTGAAGAAAGGTTTGCATCAGCAGCAGAACAACTACTGTACAGTGTCCTGTCAGTGTGTCACTGAAATCAGGGCTGAAAGTCAGTAAAATAAATCAAAAGAGCACATGAACGCAGCCAGCATTAAACCAGAGGCCTGAGCACCCGCTGAGGTCTACATTTCTTGAGACAGTGCATGTACTTGCAGCTCTTTGTTATAGTATGTGTTCATTAGTGTGCTTGCCTCAGTGGCAGTTTTGGCAGTTAGGATGACATGGTTGATTATTGACTCGACATCTACAACCACCAGATATGTCACCATTGCCCTGTAAAAAAAGGAAAAATAAGTCAGATACACAGGTTACTCTCCTCAACAATCAACCAACACTGTCTGAAAATGTTTTTATCTAGCTCTGTGTGTGTGTTTGTGTGTGTGTGTGTGTGTGTTTGTATTCACATTTGGTCCCCAGCGAGCTTGTTTGGTGACCCAGCAGATTTCTGTCTTGCACATCAAACAGCAGATCCAATCACAGCCATCTTTCTTCTGGACGATGATGTCACACCGCGGGCATTTCATGGCCTCCCCATTCTGCAGCAGGCTCTGTGGTGAAATACAGTGAAACAGTGTAAAATGTTACTTTGCATCATGAAACAATTATGAGTTAAGAACTCAGAGTCTGAGGTACTGCTGGTGCAACACACATGGATATTGAAATATTGTTTAACTTATTGAAAATCCATGTCTCCAAAATACTTTACAGCTCAACGCACAGATGAAAGAGATTTTATGATTCATGTTAAAGAAAACAGACACTCCATCAGCCCTTCCAGTTTAGGTTAGCGGCACACATCTGTTTTCATACACGATTATACAATATTTACAGGGCCTTAGACAAGATAAAAATAAATAAAAGCTCTGTGCAATTACTTTTTAAAAATAAAATACTAACTTTAAAAGTTGAAAATTGTATTGCTGCTAAGGAAGTGGTCTGTTCTTTCGTTCATAATAATAACAGAAACTATAAAAAAAAAGATTGTTACTGTTCCGCACATGTTTTCTGGATCCATGCTGATCTGCCAGCACCAGGGTGCACAAGCCTGTTTATTGTCTAATATTAACAGGTGTAAATTTTCACACACTGGTTGACCTACCTCAAGCATTTGCTTAGTCTGCTGAGCCGCCTGGTCGTTCTCTGCTCGGATGCGCAGGTCATCCTGGTAGTCCTTACAATTCATGCCTTCATGGATGGCCTGAGAATACACACATTATCTCTTATGCTTGCGTCGAAAGAAAAACTTTACTCAGTTAATGTAATAAAGTGTAAGAAAGCTACCCTGCAGAGGATGCAGTTGGTCTCATCGCACAGTTCACAGTGGAACTCGTTGACTTCATCCTCGTAGACGCACCACCCTCGACAGTTGGGAGTCTGACAGTGGAAGCTGTGCTCTGCGCGGCTCTCGGCGATGCTCAGACGCAACTCCAGAAACCGCTGGTGCTCTTCCTCTGTGAGCAGCTGCATCCACGATCATACAGTTAACAGTAACAAAGAGAAAATCCGAGAGTGTACATATTTAATGGATGTCACTTACACATAAAAGGAAATAAAGAAACTGCGACTTGTTGGTTGGTGCTCTGCCTGAAGCTTAATATACTGTAAATTGTACTGTAAACCCCCACTGTCCTATTGTTGAACATTTATGACTCAGGTATGCTGTTGTTCAGCTGTTCACGCTATGAGAGAAGATCATTTTTTATTTACCTTTTTAAAATCTTCTCTTCAAAATTAGGGTAAGCAACATATATGTACTTTAATTTTAATTTCAAATGATAAAAAAAAAACTCCCTCACTTAACTTCTATTCCATACAGTTCTTACATTTTATAGTAGGGTTTGAAGAGGAATTTTTTATTAGTCTGACCAATCAGATCAATCATTTTCACAGTCATAACATGGATTATTTTCTGGATTATTATTATTATTATTATTATTATTATTATTATTATTATTATGTGATTGTGAGTCCCATCAGCTTTTTCTGAAAGTGTCTTGTCCTCCTGTCTCACCGCTTTAATTTCTCTGTCCAGTATCTTGCTGTCACATTTGTCAGGACAGGACACCTCAGCATCTTGACTGTTCACTATTGTCCCTCTTAGACACTCCCTGGACAAGGACACGCACACGTAAAACACACAGAAGAAATAATGTCAAATAATGTATATGCAGACTTACAGAAAAGCGGACAGAATACTTATCATTTTATGTCGTATGAAATGCTACAAAGCTGTTTCCTGTCTGACCTGCAGAAGGTGTGCAGACACTCCCTGAGCACAATGCCCTCTCCTGGCTCCAGGGTAGAGAAGCAGATGGGACAGTCTGTCTCTGTGGCATTGGGGATAAGGCGCTGATCTTCTGTTGCCAACAAGTACAGGTAGTTCTTCTCTCGTTCCACCTGCTGAGCCTTCATTACCCAGCAAGAGAGAGACATACATACACAGCACAAAGATTCATTACAAACTGTCATTATCATGTATGATAAATATCATAACCCTGTGTTAAGAGGAAAGAGGAAACAGCGAAAGACTGTTGAAGTGAGCATCAGCAAAGTTTTAATAGACTCTGGTGGTGTTATGTTTATTTTTCCATGTGTCATTCTTATTTTGTTGTGCAGAGTATACAGTAAGTGTCATCTATTGGTTCTGCATTTATCATAAATATTGTATCATAAAGGATTTTACTTTTGTCTATTCCATATAAGAGAGCTATGCTAATCATCCAGTGAATTTAGATTACTACATATAACTTCATGTCTCAGTAACAGATTTATGCTTATAAGTCACCACACAACAACCAACAAAAAGTTTTGGGAGTTCTGGTTGTTTGGATTTTGAATGTTACCTGTTCATACTGCAGCATGGCCAGCTGCTCCTGCTGAATTCGTTGAACCTCCTGCTGGTCTGGCTGGTAGATGTCGGGCACCTTATAATCCTGTGGCCGTTCCCCTCCACACATCTCACAGCCAGGACGTGTTGGCTTGTTCACGTATGTACACGAAGTACAGGCCCAGCCCAACTACACACACAAACACAGTACAATACAGTAGAGCTTACACAGCCCCTGGACACACATATAGGCAGATTTATAGGGCTCAGACGCAATGCAGAAATAATGCATAACACAGTTTGTATACTGACCTGAGGTTTAGGAGGCACGGCTGGTTTAGGAGCAGTTGGGGGTTTAGGAGGAGGAGTAGGATAAATCTGTTGAGGCTCTCGAGGAGGAGCTGCCTTCGCACCACCACCTCCGCCTAGCCCTCTAGGAAAAAGTTGCATCGACTCCATTGACTCCACGATACCTAGGAATAGATTATCATTCCATAAAACTTATATTTATCCAGTAATCAAGGCTAGCGATCACAGAAAAACATTTCTGTCTAGGGCTGGGTATTGAGATACTGAACTTCAATGTATTTTCAGATTTGACAGAAATGTATCTGTATCCAGCAGCAAACACTGTGTATGAGCATTTGTCAATATTTTAATAGACTAAATCAGTAGATTAACTAAAACTGAAACTTATTTGTAGTCTTGATCTGTGTGTGTGTGTGTGTGTGTGTGTGTGTGTGTGTGTGTGTGTGTGTGTGTGTGTGTGTTACCGACCCTCAATTCGTAGCTGCTCCTGGTCCTGGATGTGTTGATGCCGTGTGAGATGACCAGCATGGGCGGAGAGGATGAACAGGAAAGCCTGGTCCCCGTCTTTACGGACACCGTGATTGTACAACGTGTCCCGGTCCTGAGCCAACCGTTTGCCGATGACCCAGCGCTGCAGCAAAGGGTGGAACCCAAAGTCATGGCTGATCTGTGACGGTGAAATTAGGGACAGACAGGTCATTCGACACAGCTGTAAAGTAACATCTGTTGAGAGGGAAAATGATTCTCGCTTGTAATCGTGACTGATGATAACAGAAGGTGTGTATGCACTGAATTTGTGCCAGTGTTCGTGTACATGCATTTAAATAAAGTTTACACACAAAAAAATCAATATGTTACAGAAATCTGTGCTGCAAAGAATTGCATTAGAAATATAAAACTTCTAACTTAGTAATACCAGAAAGAAGCACCTGCTGTCCTACTATAGTATGCTATATTTTTGATAACAATGCATAGGAAACAGGAACAGTAGTCAAAGTTGCTGTCACATCAGTACCTTATCTTTAAGTTGTGCAATTGTCATACCAGCAGAAACCACAACATTCACTGGGATGTAGTTATCTGACTGAGCATCCTCCACTCCAACCTTCAACCTACAGAACAGAAAACAACAGAACCTGTTAGTGTTGTGTTATTCTTTATTTTATCTGCTTACTGCATAACAGAATCAAATGTAACCACACACAGAGACACAGTCATGCATGCGCACACTTTTGTTATTCATTGCTTGTTGCCATATACTTTACTTTCATTTCCCACCAACCCTTATCCACTATATAATATATTAACAGAGCTCACTCTAAAAATAAACACTTCTCTTCAAAAGAGGGAAACTCTTCCCCTGCAAGCAACAAGGTTCATGGTTTTCTGCTATGGAAACATCGGGCCAAGGTAAGGAAGTCAAACACAAACATACTCCTACACACTGTGGTGTCCCACCTTATGGAGTCCTGAGGATAGGCCTGGCTGTTGATACTGACAGACACTGGGACAGAGAGTTGTGACAGCCTCTGGCACAGTTTAACAGCCTCTTCACTGTTCCCACTGCTGAGGGCTTCTCCCAGAGCGAGGGCGAGTTCCTCCGCTGCAAAGGGAGCAAGGAAAAAGTTCAATCCCTAACATCACTTATTATCAACACATGCCATTTCTTAACAATGGCTGCCACCATTGGATGGCAGTGTTGTATGGATTAAATATGCGGTATCTTGTCTATAGTTTTTTTCTGTGTACTTTCCACCCTACATAAGGGGAAATTGAACTGAATGTCCTTTAGTTTGGTAGAACTTACAGAGAACACACAGGTTGTTCAGGACTAATCAAAACAATGGCTTGTCCCCCCACACATATGACAGAGATCAATAATTAACGGTGACACAAATGAAAGATATTCGTTCCACGGAGACAGAATTAATGAAATGGGTGGTCTCATATCAGGAGTATACGTGAAACTAGATTTAATTAATGCCCTTGCAACAAAATCGAAACTAAGTTGAGCTGCTTACCCTCCTTCAAATAAACTGTCGGTGCATCTTGGGAGGCCATGATCACGCCTGAAACGACAGGTAACATAACATGTGTCGCAGCAAATGTCGCTGTTAGGACAAAAAAAACTAATAAAAAAAACTAACTCAGCTGTTTGTAAAACAAAAGGTTTGACACCCAACTTTCTCCGCTTCTCGTGCTGTCAACGCACCCAAACAGTCACTTCCGCAAGTCGACTCCGTGGTGAGAGAGAGAGGGAGAGAGAGGTCGTGTGTAGGCAAAGCTGGACTGAAAATCACAGCCTTGCGAAGACTAACCTGCGTGTTTCTCTGCTTCTTTTCTAGAGCAAGGAGCCTCTGACACTGACACTGACACAAATAGCTGGAAACGAAAGTGAAACTGACTCAAGTTCAGGAAGAGGAGATTTAAAAGGATTGCTTTGTTATTGCTCCGCCCCGCCGTCTTACTCCTGAAAAGTTTATATCGCATGATGTTGATGATGTTTAAATACACTTCAAGTACAAAATCAAAAAAGATTTGTCGTTCCACTATCTAAACAGCCCTCACTAGCACTCATTTTCTTTACCTTCTTTAATTTAAGGCAGATCATTGTGATCAACCCTACACTAGTCAGTTCAAAGACACTTGAGTTTATGAATAATGACAACAATAAAACTGCAATGAAATAGCCAATGTAATGGAATACAACCGTAACGTAACAGAATATAATCATAACTGAATATCATTTTTTTAAAGGTCAAAATAGTGACTTACAACATCCAGCAGATGGCAGTGTCTGTCTAGTGGTTTGGCTCTCACTGTAACTGTCAGATTCTGACGTTTAACTATACATTCAGTTTGAAATAATAATTAAAAAAAGGCTGATTGTATATTTGACCTCAACTATAAGATGTAGAAGAGAGGAAGAGATAAGAGAATAGATAATATTTTCAATAGTGAAAATTACCCACTCATGCTTTTGCGTAACAAAGTTAGTATATTATTTAGATATAGGATTTCTGTGATTCATGTATAAACAAAAGTATATGATAAATAATAGAGGCTATAGGGAGCATTTGTTCCTGATCTAACCAACACTTTGATCCAGATGCACGGCGCAGATAAACGAGCCAATCACAGCGACTCCAGCAGGAGGGGCTGGCATCTCTGCTCGGCAGCAGTATTCGCACCACAAAGTTGCAGAGCGTCTCCGAGTCTCCGCCTGCTCCGCTATAGCTTTCACACCTGCCACCTGCCTGTCCTCCACCACACCTCAACCTCCACTTCACTTCACCTCACTTCACTTCAGCCGTCAACAGTTGGAGCGATCTGCACCAATCAAGGTGTGTCTCGACGCGTTCAAAGATGCTGGCTTGTACGGAGATGATCACTATGTGCCTGCAGTCGGCCAAACAGAAGCATCTTCGGGCTCAGCTGCATCAGCAGCAGCAGCAGCAGCAGCAGCAGCAGCCGCTCCACAGCACCGGGCAAGGGCTTACTATCTTTCATGATGTGAGTGGATCGACTCTCTTACTCATGCATCACCGTGAAAAAAGTGTTATTTGTCCACTGAATATTTTGTGTTTTTTGCTATTTATGTTAATAGTCTTAAAAGCATCTTCAATGTCGTGTGATATTAACAGTTAAAGTCAGAATACATTAAAACTGCAAGATGAAAAAAAACATTTTAGTGTAATTTTGACACTTGTGCTTGTTTCTCTGTAGAAATTTCTATGAAAGTGTTGTTTTATCTAATTTTATTCATTACACATCTAAAGATGATAGGCTACTGTGTGTGTGTGTGTGTATGTGTGTGTGTGTGTGTGTGTGTGTGTGTGTGTGTGTGTGTGTGTGTGTGTCAGAGCAAAGTAGGAGGCGCTGCAGCTGCTTCCTCTGCATGATAAATTAAGCTCTCACAGTCAGACAGTTTTAGGGGCTGCTGGGGGGGTCTCCTCTTTTTGTTGGGCACACACACGCGCACACACGCGCGCGCGCGCACACACACACACACACAAGAGCACTTGAAACAAAAACACATAAAAATCTTTTATCAAAATATTATAAAATCAATTGAAGGATATTTAGTTGCTTTAGGGTGGTGTCATGTTTTAGTTTTTTTTATTACAATGAATTTTGATTTTTTAGTGCTGTGTTCAAGTGCTTGACTTCTCTCTTTATCTCTCAGACACACACACACATATAATTACACACAAACATGCATCTACCCCAATTGGATTAAACCACTAACACCCGCTGCCTTATTAACCTACAACACTGCAGCAGAGCCCATCCATCAACAGGGTAATTATCCATCCATCACATACTGTCTTGTCCTGGGTTAGTAGGCCAATAATGTGTCCAAATCTGAGCTCTCACTAACTGACAGCTTTCCATCTACTGTGACACTAATGTAGTGCACAGACAGCCTCGTCTAAATAAGGATACATTACTCGCATTTTGCAGAAATGTCACTTTATTGGTGCACGCGCTGTCCCTGAACAGATTACAGCACCAGAGTGCCTCTGCAATTAGTCCTCAACCTTGAATTTTTGTGTTGTCAGAGCGGAGGCAGACTAACAGGAACACTCTGCTTGATGGTTCCCTGCTCAGAAACATGATCATGTTTGAATTGTCTAAAGCAGCCTGCGTAGGAGATAATGGTGTTGAGAAATAATAAATGCTCTTAGGCCAGACAAGGGCATGCTGTCTTAGTTTTGATAACCACACTTGTCTGATCATTGTCTCATTTTACCACATTCATTCTCCTTTTTGTCTTTCCACTCGGGTTCGGTGATGGCCAGACATTTTTTCAGACATTGGAAATCGCATTCCTGCCTGTAGGTTGCCCAATTATTCCACTGGGACCGCTGACAGATTTTGACTTGAGAAATCTAGTTCTGCATTTCAAGGCAGGTATAGAGAGCTGTCTTGTGCTGCTATGGCATTTCCCACAGTGCTAAGTTGGCTGAATAAAGTCAGCTGGTCAGATACTAAACCTAAAAACAAGCATGAATATTTTGTGTGCCTGGAGAGAATGTTGTAAAGTAGATCAATGGTGATTGATTTTCAGAGATAATGCCAGTGGATGAACTTTATTATTGTAGGGGTACACATTGATTTTCAATAGGAGATGACACACACACACACACACACACACACACACACACACACACACACACACACACACACACACACACACAACTAAGAAGAATGGAGATGTTAACTATAAAAGCATTTATTTGAAAGAATAAGACCAATTACCAGCTGTACATCGACAGACAGATGTCCACTGTGGCAGGAATATCAGTACATCAGTAGCAGGTCTATACTGAATCATTTTACATGGTGATGATTGAGTAAGATGTAGAGATTGTACATCTTACAACCCAGATTCCAAGGGTAAGAGACAAAGCAGTGCCTGAAAAAATGTCCTGTTCAAAGGCCAGGGACAATCAATGATGCCGATGATGATTGTAAGAGGCGGTTTTATCATCCGCATTGTTGGCTGCTTTTTTATTGTCTTTGTTTTGTGTATCCAGTGGTTGGTTTCTGAGGCTTACTTGATCTTCAACACTTTCTGGTTTTTGTCCTTTCTCTCTCTCTCTCTCTCTCTCTCTCTCTCATCTCTGTCCTCCCTCTCCTGATCTTCATCTTTTGCTGTTCTTGAACTGGAGAAAAAAAAGACATGTATGGAAACAAAGAAAAAAGATACGTTAAGAAAAACAGGAAAAATTTCAGTCAATATCCAAGAAAACAAATGAAAAATATCACACATAGAATATGCTCAACAAAATATGATCAGTAGCTCTGGTTTCCTCTTTGTTGGAAATCTAAAAAACAAAAAAAAAACAGTGTGTCAGCAGAGCCTGAGAGAACCCACCGTCTTAACACCTGCCACCATGACATCAGAACAGCAGCGCTCTGGGAAGCAGGTATGACCTTTTCTGGGCTTGCTGTAAATGATGCATTATCGTCTACTGACACTGGTGAGCCCAAAGACAGAGCCAAACAAACAAGTTTAACAGTATTGTACCTGGATTCAACACTGCTTAGATGGGTAATGGTTCCAAAGGAGGGAAAAGAAAAGACTACTGATTGAGAAGGAATTAAGGAGATTTACTGTACAATAAGTAGGCACTTAAAGTAGACACAAAATTATTTTCAGATTCATGTATAAAACAATAAGGAGGGTTCATGATGTCCTGCCATCATGCTATTATTAAAAAAATAATTTTTAATTTAACTGAATCACGCAGAGAGCAATTTGCAGCTTTACAGTCACCTCCAAGTCTAGACCAATAAATCAGAAAAGCAGCAATGAGTGTGTGGTGAAGTGGTTTGAAATGACCTGGCTCTTGTTATTAGTCAGGATTGAAGTTGTAGAGAGACAGGGGTTGACAGGCAAAGGGTAGAAGTGCAGACTTTGAGCTTGAAATGAAAGTGAGGGGGCAGGTTTGGCTGCTATTATTAACCTGTAGGTCAAAAATGACGAGCATGTCAGTCCTGACCTCTGCCTGACAATGGAAACAACAGACTGGGGGGGGGGGTAGAATCGATAAAAGAGATCACATTTTTGTTTAAATTTTATTTTCATAGCACAGCATCTTTGTAAAAAAAAAAAAAAAGTTAGATTTATTCCTGTGGCACTGGTTGATGACTGTGCTGCATGCAGGAGATGTTTAAAACAAATTATAGTGTCACATGTGAACTGTTGCAACTTTGAAATTGTCGTGATCCTATGAAAATGAAAATGCTGATTTAAGAAATGCGGTGTTAAATTTGTAACTTCTGAAATTTAAATTGTAGGGCATAGGTTAAACTAAGTGGTTTATGCAGTTATTCTTGTTTCAGATTCAGTTTTTACATTGCAAGTGTTAACTTCTTGGAACACCTTTGTGCACGGTGGTTTCCCCAGTCTCTTATTTCGACAGTGATTTATAATGGAGCATACTTTCCCCAGTTTAGTCCAATTATCTGAACCACATGAGAACAAAGGTGATCATTAAAACTGTCACGCAAACTGTCCATTGTAAACACCTATTTGATTTACAAGAGCCACTTCAAACTACTTCAGCTTTGTCCACTGTACTTTAGTTGTGTGTGCATTAACAATTCAGTAGATGTTTACAGTGTAATAGGCATTGTGGGAGCTCTGATCTTTATTTTCACTACAGATAAGTGTCATTATGGTTACACTGGGAACTATTTAAAACTTGTCAGATCATTTGTGCAGTTACCCTGTGTAGTCTGTTTTCCTCAGATCCTGCCTCATCCTTAGATCTCAGAAATTTATGCAGTATGGTGAAGCCAAGAACCGTTTCCATTTTGTGGACAATAAAGTTCCTTATAAACCGAGTAAAACCCAGGCTATGACAGACTGGAATTTTCCTCTGTTGACCAGAAGGCAGCTCCTGTTCTCACAGCTGCCAGCGGCTGACTCACACTCTGTACTATGGTCAACCATAAGCCATATTGTGGCCTTGTGTCTTATTCACATCAGGCAACAAATGGCTTTCCCAGGGATAGTCACTCATTTGCACAGTTGTCATTCTTTTACTGATTTCAGCTGATTTGTGTCAGACAAGTTTATTACCTTCTGCTTTGTAGCACTACCCTTTCATACAGTGACTGTCATTGGTAGCATAGGTGGAGTGGGGGGTGGGGGGTGGGGGGGATGGTGGGTGTCGTGGTTTATGGCAGTTATGCCCATCAACACACATGACAAATCTATTAGTAGACACGTGCTATTGGATCAGTCAAGGTAACTTTCAGTGTGACAACCATCAGATTTGTCATGTGTGTCGATGGGCACAACTGCAATATTACAGTCCTACACGCCAGGAGAGATGGACAGAGGAAAGTCAGACTTCAGCAGAAAGGTCCAGCATGTTTCCTTCTTTTTTCCTCACAGGAACAAATGCAGATGACTGGCAGTTAGCATTAGGAGAAATATGTGATATTTCAGTATGACAAGCATCAGTATAAGGCCAGTATATTGTTGTTCTACAGGTGACATTCATTTTTAAGCTATCATTTTTGTCAGATGTAGGAGCGTTTTGTCAATATGCACCTTTAAGAAAAAATTAGAAGCAGTTTGTAATTTGTGTAATTGCATTTCCACACAGATAGTTAAATGTTTAAAATTCAGATTCTGTTTATTAGATTTATTTTCTAAACTTGTCTTCATCACTAATGCATCAGAAAATAACATGGATGTGACTATTATATCTGATTTTTGGTGAAGGAACTCATTGAGACATACTGATGAAGTAATGAGGAACCACTCAGTAACAACTCAGATGTATCACTTTACTGACCAAAGCTATACAAAGTGTAAAAACAACCACAATATGCTGATGGACCTCACCCTAGTTTACAATGCAGTTCTGTTGTATTGTGCTGCAAATTGCCCTCAAATAAAATACTGCGAAAGAACGTTTTGCATTTGTAAAAATAAAAACAAGACTTTGTGAATAAAACCAAACAAATGACCAGTGGTGAGGTAAGACACAGACACCGTGAGAGGCAACATGCTTTGTGTAAAACTTGGTGCTAAAAGTTCCCACACAATACGTGACACTGAAGTTACAAGTAGAATTTTGACTCTATTTTACACTACTGGCCTTGGCACATCTACTTTTTTAAATGAATCGTACAGATCGCGTCATTAAAAGCTGCTATATTTAGATATTTAAAGGTGGCGGAAAGGTGACTGAAAAACACAAATCACAACTTCCGAATTTCTCAGCATTGAAGGCAACAGAACTACCTGCCCTGTACTTTGCTTGTTGGTTGGATTGTCACTGTGTGGGAACTTAGAGCACTGAGTTTTCTTCTCTATATCTGTACACAGATGTTGACACAAACACTTCTTTCAGAGTCTGTGTTACCTCACCACTGATATCATTCAACAAAAATAACACTTCTGTAATTCAGCATCAACAAAAATTCAGTTAAATTCATTCAGTGTCTCAAATTTGTGCTGAGTAGCGCTCTTCCCAAACAATTAATGTTTCAGTTCTATTCAATTCGTTGTTTTTACCCTATGCTTTTACGATACAAGTGAGCCATCTTCCCCATCAAATAGGATCTCTGATAGAGTAAACTCTAAAACTCTGACGTTGAAGGACTTACCTCCAGTACCAGGTAGCTGATTACTTCATGCAAACAGGATGTAAAAGGACAATGGTTCCTGGAGACCGGCGTGATGCAGAGCAGGAGATCCGAGTATTTTTACTTACTGGCCACAGACTGTACACAGAGCCATGGGTGGTTCACTAACGCTATCCGTTTTTTTTTGTTTGTTTGTTTGTTTGTTTTTGTCGTCCGTATTTAAATCCGAAATGGCGCCAACACTGCCCTATCACCGCACGAGGGCAGTGTATAAAGAGTGCAGAGCCCCTCTGATCTGTTTCCTCCCCTCCCTACTCAACCTTCTGTCGCAGGTGATTGTTCTCCACCATGGACGTATTATTTAAACCTAATAAGTCTTGTAATAGGCCTGCATCCATGTTCCCCAGTTTACTTTTCCTATGCTGTTCGTATGACACCGGCGAGTCTGGGCTGAGAAATCCGGTGTTGTGACGAGTTTTGCCGCTTAGTCTCATGGACACAGAAAAGAGTGAACCAGCAAACAAGAAGTCCATCTGCAAGTGACACAAAATCCATAAAGGAACGTTCAAAATTCATAAGCTGCAGCTAAAACCCATGAACTGCAGCGGGCAGATAAGGTAAAAGTCCAACAGCAGCTGTGCATGAGGTTGAAGATACTAATGACAGCAGCAAGTGCAGGTGCAGCAACAGGTCGGTGGCGACTTGTGGAAAAAATAACTCTATGACTAGTGTAAGGAGATATTTTGTGTTTGAGCGGATCAGAAGGGACAAGTTATAGACGAAAAGCCAATATGCAAATGGTGCCACAGGACGAAACGCCTCAAACTTATCTTACCAGCTTAAAGACAGACATCCGCATCTGTACACAGAATTCAGCTCCACACAACGTTCACAAAGGCTAACGTTAGCTTGTAGAGGCTAACGTAGCGATAGCTAATAAGGAGAGCTAGGTGCTCACAAAATTAGCAGGCTACAGTCATCACCGTTCAGTCTGTTTAAAATATAACGCTGACTTTTAAAATGAATATTTTCACATCATGGGTCTCTCACCTTGTTAGTCAGTTTAAACTACTGCTTCACATGTGCTTGTGTGGTAGCACACTGTGTGGGCAATAGTCTCTGATGTCTGTTTTTTACCATGTTATTGAATTTGGTATCGTAGAACTTCAGTGTTATTGGTACTAAGTACCAAAATTCTGGTATGTCACATAGCTACACTATGCACAACTGCATATGTAAAATGTACCTGTTCCATGTGAAACAAGTTTGTGAGGCTATTTATTTGCATTTGTAGCAACTGTGTGTTGTGATAGCTTTTGAGGTGATAGTTTTGTTTTTATTAAGTGATCATTTATCCCTCATTCATTCAGAAACATCCTCATCATAGTTGCTATTTTAACAAACAACTGACTTTGGCATCACAGTCTCTCATGCTAATCATAAACCAACATTGAGTAACAGAAACCCCAGTGGGAATAGAATGAAAGGAGCCAGAACGATAGGATTGTTCAGTGTTGCCTGTATACATGTGTCAAAGAAAGACAGCAAAAGACTAAGTACATTAATATTATTATTATCTAACAGTTCATATATCAGCTTAAATCAAATACCATTTGGGTATTAAAGTGGCAATACAGCACTGTAGTTTGCAGCTACTGAGATTTTGACTTGTCATAACAGTAAAAGCACAGGTGTAATTAATAACACTAATGGTGTCTCTGTTTAATTTAAAATGTACCAATCAATTAGCTAGCACACATAAATGCATGGCCCTGGAACTTTGATTCAATCATCCTTAATGTTATTAATTGCAACTGTGCTCATTCTTCTATGACACAATAAAATGTTTGCAGTGAAAATGGCCCACTAAATCACTTGTGGGTGAAACATGGACTAGATCTTTTTGTAGCCACTGGCCAGTCAATGCACTTAGCTGCATCAGATGCCGATAGCATCAGCATTAGTGACTGATGCTCCGAGCTGATCTTTTGAATACGCCACCGCTCTGTTAGTGCCCTGGGAGATCTGCTGGCTCCACGTTCCTTTGGGCACCACTGATGAGCCTCAGCTTGTGGCTGTTGCTCTCCTGTTTGTTTGGATCCTCATTATTTGTTACCTGGGCAACAACTGCTCTTACATATTAAACTATACAGTATAATCAACAAATGTTTAATTCATTTGCACATCCACGTCACACGCTGCACATTGTATTAATGCAGTTTGTCTGTGCGAGCTGAATATGGTTTTAAAGACATTTTTCCACTTGAGCAGATATAGTGACTAAGGAACCTTTAAGATAATAACTGTTTGGCCTTAAACTGATTCTAAAATTACTATTTACCTCAGAAGGATAAACCTGTTTTCAAATTGACCTAACATGAGTCACACATTCAGAGTACAACAGCCTTTGTCAGTGTCCTTGTTCGTATGACTGTTCTGTTCAGTGCAGCAGAGCAAATGAACCTTGTACAGCAGACGTCAAACATCCTATTGTGTTTTTGACAAACTGCCATGATGCTTAATAATCTGCACCTGCTTATTGCAAGAATCCCTTTATTGATGCTTGGCTAGAAGTAATAACCATCTCCTCTGCCCTCTTTCTTTTGTTTTTTTTTTGTTTTGTTTTTTTTTTTCAGATTTTCCGCCGAGCAGACAAAAACGGTGAGTGAACAGTACATAACATGTCCTGTGATGAATAATTTGTCACAATGCATGCTTGTTGTTTCCCCACATTCTTTCACTTGTTATTATTCCTGAGACAATCTGGGCGGAGAAACGAGGGACTTGCATGAATGACTCTTAGAGTGAAGCTCCTTTCCTCTTCATGCTCCAACAAGTTTCTCCGCCCAATTAAAATGATGCTAAGATGCTGGCTTAGAGCCATGAGTGGAAGAGCGTGTCACACAAAATGAAGCACCTCTCTGTCAGTGTCGAAACAGTTGACTGGGTGCTGTTTACAAATTAATGTGAGTCATATTGACACGGGCTGAGCCAAGTTATTTTTTTCTGGCGGTGGGTGGATTGGGGGGGTGGGGGGTGTTACCTTAAAGTAGGTAAGTATTAGGAGAGACCTCTATGGACTATGCAATTTTAGGCCGATGTAAGTTGTCATTTGTGAGAGATGGACAGTCCTACAGTCTCTTTCAAAGTTCTGACAGTATAAATGAAATGTAGAAACAAATGCTGACAGTGTGACTACTGCTGTGAGCATGTCTACAAACCAACCAATCAGAATACGGCATGCAATGACACAGAATACAGTGGCCAACAGCAACATGTAGTTTACCACTCTGCATACATTACATTGTGGATTGCATATATCTATGGTAGGTGCTACTTCTGAATAGAGCAGTTACGATATCCAGGCAATCCAGGCATTCATTGCAAAATCTAACATCCTTCAAAAAGATTAAAAAAAAAGATTTTATTAAACTGTCTTGTGCAGTGAGCCTGTAAGATGACTGTTTTTGCACAGTGTGCAAGGCCCTCATAGATACTACATGTTTGTAAGCTTTGGTGATCAAACCTTGGAAGCACATAGACTCAAACAAAATTTGTTGTAGTTACGGTTTGTCTCAATAACCCCTTGATATCAGGCTGTTATATATCATAGTTCTGTAATGTGAAATGCATTCTGAGAGTTGTACTGGGATGAAATTACTTTTTTTTTGTACCAACTTTACTTCAAACTGTCTCATCTAATTTTACTTAAGTGACTGTCTTGACTTTTGCAACTTTGAACCAATCCCAGGAAATGCGACAACACTTGTTCCACGCAGCTGTTGGTTTACAGTATGTCCTGTTGGATTATGGTAAATCTGAAAACATTCTGAAAGTGAAGAGCCACCTCTTGTGTGTGTATGGATGTGTGATTTTGTTGCATCATGGACTAATACTATTTGTCCCTGATATACCTCCACACCTGCGACAGCCAGCGCCAGAGGCATTATGTTTTCCAGTTGTACATCTTGTCTGTCTCATTCATGGGCAAGGAATATCTCAGTAACACCTTGAGGGAATTTCTTCAAATTTGGCACAAACATTCACTTGGACTTAAGGATGAACTGATTAGAATTTTGGCAATAACTCACAAATTTATATGCTAACACAATTTAACACAAATGTCTAATAGGATAAAATAATGAAGTGATGACATCTTATATCCAAAAGGTCAATTTCACTGTGACGACATAATGTTTTGCAAAACACTTACACCGTTACACAACATTTTAAATCAGGAAGGGGAGATTGTGATCATATTTCCTTCAACTTGGCTGGTAGGTGGAGGCATACAACCGTGCGGCAACTCTAGTTTCAGATGTTTTAGACTGTTTTTCTGCTTTTAAAATTATCATGCTGTAATGGCACAAAATAATCCCACGTTTGTCTGATTCATCTGTTGCATTACTTTTGTCAAAACAACAAAAAATTAAATGAAGCGTGAAAACATGACATTAAAACTGGCTCACAGAAACGTTTATTTACCCCACAGAGATGTCCAGCTTTTATAACCTTTGGGGTCCAGACGAGCACAACTCCACCAACACAAACTAAACCAAGAGCAACCACGACAGCTGAGCTGAGCAGAGAAAGAGGAAGTGGTCTCAGCAGACCAACAGAAAAATCTCAAACCTCAAACAGATCCTTGTCAGTAAAGCAAACGTGAAAGCAAACACACAACATTTGAATGGGGTTGGAGGAGAGAATTAATTTTACAACAATAATAACCGTCGGCTTAATTTTGCGGCTGGTTTGGTCTTAGTTTGTTGTTTTTAAAAGTGGAAAAATAGTAATCTAGGCGGGGGGGGAATAGTGTCTCACACAGACCCATTCCATTATCTTGTCATCGCCCTGTTGATTGTCCCATATGCAAAATCTGCCAGACTCATCACATATTTATGAAAGTAATATTTCTTTCCCACGACATATGAGATTTGAAACATATTTGCTCTAATAATACCCTCCTTTCTTCTGCTGGTACTATGACTAAGAATGTCCTGCCCAAAAAGATATTTATTTCTGTCTAATTAAGATGAAATAAGGTGCCAAAGCAAATCAGGAAAAAGTACACATTACAGGGACATTGTCCCTTTTACAGGGGCTGTAATCAGTATGCCTCCATACAGCAATTACTTCTCAACAGCTCTTAACCTTCACTATGACAAGTCTTGTTTGTGATGAATAGTTCTATGGCTTCCAACCAAATATATTCACTGTTTTTTATTATAATGAGCTCAGCTTAGATGACTGTCATCACTGAACCAGCTGTGGAGAAGGGGGGGGGGGGGCACAAAGAAAATATACTGTGCTCCATCCACTGCTCTTTATCTTTCAGTAATAAATGCCACAGGGATTAGATTGAATACATAATATCAACAAACTAAAGATGAGATCTTCCGCAGCAGAATGGGGTGAATAATAAACTAGTATTAAAATATATCTGAAACTAATAATAATAACTAATAATTTTCTAAGCATATGTTTCACTGAATAATGTAACATCTAGTATGAGTAGTGGGGTTTGTTAACATGCAGGCTAAGTAGCTTTTATTCATTTCCAGCAGCCATAGGACGTCTTACCTCTGCTGGCATAAGCTTCACTAATCAATATTTTTATATTAAAATGGGTCATATGACTACGTCTAAGTAGTGAGGAGCCTACAAATAACCATCACTCTACCCCATTCCCCTCTGCTCTGCCGAGCATTTCAGTGTCTTACAGTGGACTACTCAGCAGCTATAGAGACAGATATTTTTGGGAGTTTGTACAGGCCAGAGTAGAAAGGAAAGAGAATATTGGATTTACATTTGTCCACATTTGTTAGATGGCAAAGATACTGCTTCAAGCTGGATTTAAGTCCTACAGCAAAACAAGATTTATACACTAGCTTTTTCTATAGTTTTTAACTGTACATGGTCTTTGAGCTATTGTGTTTGCAAGTCAATGGATCCATCTCCGTGAGAACTGAGCAAACTTGCTCAAAAATATCATGTAATGTGTTGGAAAGCTTTGGAAAATGGTAGAAAAAAAGAACCTTGAGCTGATTAAAGAAAAAAAAACAGCACATGTTCATGTCCCTGAAGTTTTTGTACTGCAAGCATATCCTTCTTTTAATGGTTTAAAACTCAGTCTCACCAGTGTGCATGAAATCTTGCGGATAATTAGCCATCTTACAGAACCCCAACTGTGACACAACTTAATTGGCAGAATGGTCACAGATCAGCACTCTTGTTTGAAATTTCTATGTGCAGCAGCTTCAGGTTTAGGTACAAAACACAACTGCTGTCTTTATAAAAATCAATGCGAGGCAAAATTTCACATTTTGGTGGAAAGATGAAGTCTTCCTTATCCAAATGTTCTGATATAGATCATTTCCTCTTTGTCTCTTCAGCTTTTAATGAACCTTCTTCTTGCCTGACATCCGCTCCAACATGCAGGAAAAGACCAGTCGGCTTCAGACCATTAGTGAGTTTGAAAATAGAGAAGCAGTAGTTGTATGTGGTCTAAATGCAGCATACAGGCTTAAATTGGGATGGAAGCAGAAAGACAGCTTATCTCACAGATGGTCTGGTGGAACACATCCCAAGTAAAGCATTGATACTAAGAATACCAGAATAGGAAAAGGTTTGAGTACACAGTTTTGCATAGGAGTTTACTATGAAGAAACAAGACTCGACTCTCTTAGTATTGCTAGCTGTGATGCATTTATGGGAATTTATAAACCACTTAGGAGAGGCTGCAATGGGACTAACCTTTTGAGAGATAAGAATCCGGCCTACTTTGTGCCCTACTTTACAGGACTCCCCTCACTTGCTCATTTGGTTCTTGTTTACTCTGATACTCTAAGCACTTTGTTTAGGCTATTCTGACTTTTTACTGTAAAGGAGAAAAGGCTAGATACAAGCTGTATTTTTCCTGGTGCGGGGGAGAATCGGCAACACTTCTCCAGCCTCACACTTTCTTTGGAAACATTTTTCTCGCCTTGAAATTCCTGATTTTTCTGGCTCAGTATTAGAGAGCAATCTACGCATATTGCTTTTGACTCAACCTACAGTGTGATTTATAGCTTCTTTCTTGCTGTAATAATGGCAATATGCCATATGAATGGTTTAACTGTGTAGATTTTTGCTTCAATTTATGTTGGCAATATTAGACAGTTAGCTGGTCCCTTTTTACTCAGGTGTGCTGTGAATATTTTCTGCCACATCTGTTTTCAACATGCTGGTGATTTATTGTTTTCAAATGAAACAGCTGTACAGACAAATTGCAGTGATAAATGGGTCTAGTTTGGATTTGTGTCTCATAATGTCCATACTTCTTATGACTTGTCACCAAAGTATAATACTTTAGTTTTTTTTTTTCTTGATCTTAGAAATCACTAGACATGTAGCATTTGAGCCTTTGTAGCTTTGTGAACAGAAATATTTTCTTATAAAAACATCATTATAAAACGTGAAAAATATCAATGAAAAGTTAAAAAAAGAAGATTTTATGTCTAATTTTAAGTAATGTGACAGGTATTTTGTTTGTTTCAAAGAGCTTCTGTTTCCTTTAAAACCAGGTCAACAACATTTTTTTATGCAGAGTGTGATTCGTTTTTATGATCACGTTATTCACCAGGAAGCTCGTTGTTTTGTTGTCTGAAAATCTTCCAGAAAAA